ATGAGTTGGCTTGTTGACTTTTTTGGTGATTGAGTGCAAATTTTTCTTTGCCTAGATTGCTGTCAATGTTTACACATGATTTGACTGTTTATTTTAATAAATATTCAAAATCAAAATGGAGTGCAGACACCTACATGAACACTTTTCAGTTGTTTTTATGAATGTAAGTCATTCTCTTCAAATGCTATTGAGCTTTATATGTTGTATGAGCCCATACAGCAGTGAAAATAAGTCATTCTCTTTAAATGCTCCCTCAAACTGAAGTTAGAAACGTTTAAACCAATGTCGAATGCAACTTTAGAGACGCTCCCTAAATTTGCATAGCGGTCTCCTTCCAGCCATTGTATTGCCAAAAACTGTGTAATTTGTCCGGTGTATCCGTTTGGAAATATACTGGAGATATATTTATGTAGAATGCCTTTGTCCCGATAGAGATTCAAGTCTGGAAGGGATTAGACACTGGATGAGATCAGTGACTCAGGGAATAAACGGTGAATATTGGTTCCTCCAGGGCTGCAGAGGGCGCTGTGACCGCATGATCCCCGCGGAACATCGAGTCCTCGCGGCTGCAACGCTCCGCTGGTGCGTGTTTACTCTATTTATCTGTTTATTATCTTCTAATATTATTGATGTTTTTACCATTTTAGTGCTTTAATGACCGCAAACGAAGCGCTTCATGCAGCATCTCGCTGTTATTGTACCGGACTGTTTCATTCACAGTTTCAGGAGAAACGAGCAGAAGTCTGTTTAATTTCTAACACACATTAACTTATTAAATCCAGCGACTGAACATACATGTGTTAAATGAATGAGGCAGTACTGTAGAAGAGTCATGGGCTAGTTGTCACAGACAGATATGAGGATTAAGTCCAAATTAACTTTAGTCCAAATGAATGCGGTTTTGTATTTGTGTGTGAGAGGATTTAAGCTGTTAATGTTTGTACAGTTTCATGTGTTGGGTAATAAGTGAACTTATAACACACTGACATACATTTAGACAAGACTCATTTATGTAACGATGGTAAATTTTAACAGAAAGTGAACTTTGTTTCTTATGGTGAGAGTATTTCCCCCCTAAAAAGTCACGTGACGTTTCCAACAACGTTCTGTAAATGTTATGTTAAGATAAAATGTTCTAAAAATAACAACGTTCTTACAACATTATTGATATTTGTTCTCCTGATGTTAAGAGAAAACATTCTCAGAACAACGTCTGTATGATGTTTTTACTTGAAAACTTTCTCATAAAGTTGAGAGAACTCTTGTAGTTGATGAACGTTCTCATAATTTAGTCAGAAAATCGATTTTATTGATATTTGCTGAACGTTAATATGCTTAGAATATTACAAATACATGTTCAAAGAATGTTATATGCGAGTAAAAAATAAGGTTATGGGAATGTTGTGTTAACATTATTAATGTAACCAAGTTTTTAAAGAATGTTCTTACATTTTAGAAACCTTGCAAATCACTGTTTTCACAAAAAAATGTAACTTGTAAGTTAAAATTCACTTATTTTACATCTTTGTAGATGTAATCTTGTAAACTTTTTGTAAGACATTATGGTACTTGTCTTTATCCCTGCTCTGGACTAGCATAGTTAGCACTAGTTGGGTGGCAGGTTAAGTCCTCTGCGGACTGGGTTGAACTGGTTTTCGTTGTGTCTGTTAAGTGGCGGCAGGACCGGGGTCACGTGACGACTCTGAAGACCAGCTGAAGACTGACGGACCCCGAGAGGCTGCTCACACAAAGGTCAGACATCTGCGCTATCAGTGTAGTTGCACAGAAGAAACAGCACTGCGATTGGAGTCTGCCTGAGTAGGGCTGCTCCATTATGGCACGCATCATAACCACGATTATTTTTGGCCAGTATCACGATTATTCAACGCGATTATTGGTGATCAAAGTCTTATTTCACGATACAAGTCATTTTTAAATATCAGTAAAATTTCACAATTATCGATACTTCAGCAAAAGCTAATACTAGGTTAACTAATGTAAGAAAAGGTCCTTAAAATGCATAAGACAAGTAAACACTCAGCCAAGTAAGTTGTAACTACAACAAAAATGTGTATGTAATGTAAAACAACACTGCATAGTCTTACTGCACACATTATATAGATTAATCCTTATTAAAGCTACTTAAGTTATTCGGTCAAGATCAGTGAGTGATTTTCCTTTGTCACTTGTTGTTTGATTATCATTAATGACGGACGGCAGCAGGTTTATTAGGCCGCTGTCACTTTAAGAGCTAATGCACAGATCCAATATACCCTTACACACGCATTTTCTTTCTCAACTGTTTAATTTTACATAAGACATAACTGAGTGTTTACTTGAATACTCTCCAAAAATGCATTTTGACATTTTGTGTGTATGTGTTAAGTGAAGTCAAGTCACCTTTATTTATAAAGCGCTTTTTACGATACAAATTGTTTCAAAGCAGCTTTACAGAGATAACAGGAAAAATAATGAAATAATGTTTCTAGAAGAAAATATTGTCACAGTCCAGCTTAAGTAAGTTCAGTGATGGCTCATTTTTGTTGTAAACAAGTTATTAATTTAGTTAATTTATATATACAGCCGCTGTATAAAGCGCTTATCCGAAGCCCGTGTTCTCTCCGAATCGCGCACACAGAAAGCCGCCTGGGGAACCATGTCTCTTTTGCAGCTTGATGTGCTTTTAATAACACGCTTTAATATCAAACACGTCCCGCAGTTTAGCATCAGTAGACTGCATTCTACAACACTCAATTCGGCTGATTTGGATCAGTTTGGCTTAGAAATGCTTGAAGGAGCAGTGTAACAATAATCGCTTTACCTCGATTCTCTTGTTTTCATAATTGTTGGAAGCCGAAATCGAAAATCAATTACGATTGATCGTACAGCCCTATGTCTGACTCGGGTAAACTGCCAATGTCACTCCGTAAGGAATTACGAATTATGAAATCGTTTTTTTAAACTCCAGTATATTACATTTTTTAATCTGTTATTAATGTTTATGAAAAATGAGCCGTTTGTTCCTTTTCCAGCCCTATCATGGTGAGAACGTATAAGAGGAAGACGACCCGGGCGAGCACGGCGCCGGAGACCATGCTGAAGGCCGTCCGGCAGGTGCTGGTGTTCAAGAAGACCATCCGAGGAGCCGCGGAGGAGTTCGGGATCAACTACCGCACGCTCGCCCGCTACTGCACCAAAATCCCCCGCGAGGAGGTGGAGGGAGGCGCGGAGCATCCCAGCTGCAGCGTGGGCTTCATCGGCGCCAGACAGGTCTTCAGCGCGGGGCTGGAGGCGGAGCTGGTCTCCTACGTCTTAATGGCGTCCGACGTCTATCACACGCTCCCGCCGAAGGCCATCCGGAAACTCTCGTACCAGCTCGCTAAAGGCCAGCAGCTGCAAATGCCTCCGTCGTGGCGGGAGAACAAACAGGCCAGCGCCGACTGGTTCGCCGCGTTTATAAAGCGACACCCGCTGTTGTCCGTCAGGACGCCGGAGCCGGCGAGTCTAGCGAGCGTCTTTAACAAAGAGATGTTTTACGTGAAGCTGAAGGCGCTGATGGAGCGCCACTGTTTCAAGCCCGAGGACATCTGGGTCATGGATGAAACGGGGATCACGACGGCTCAGAGGCCGGATCGAGTGGTGGCCAGGAGGCAGCCGGGATCATCCGTGACGTCTCCCGACCGCGGGCCCCTCGTGAGCGTCGCCGGCACCGTCTCGGCCAGCGGCGCCGTGATCCCGCCCTACTTCGTCTTCCCTCGGGTGCAGTTCCGGGAGCACTTCCTCACAGGCGCGCCCGCGGGGAGCTCCGGCGGCGCGCACATCAGCGGATGGATGCGGGAGGAGCAGTTCCTCCACTTCTTGCAGCATTTGGTGCGACAGACCGGATGCTCCCCGGAGAAACCCTGCCTCCTGCTCCTGGACGTCCACGTGTCGCACCTGTCCATCGACGGCCTCAACTTCGCCAAAGCCAACGGCGTGGTCGCGCTGTCCTTCCCGCCGCACCTGGAACGCTCGGTGTTCGGCCCGTTCCAGAAATGCATCAACGCGGCCATCGACAGCTGGATGCTGGGAAGCCCGGGCAGGAGCGTCACGATCCATCATATCCCGGGGATCGTGGCGACGGCGCTGCCACAGGCCGCCACTGCGGACAACATCACGGCGGGGTTCAAAGCCTGTGGGATTTTCCCACTCAACTCGAGCGCTTCCGAACAACAGGGTTTCGTCACGGACTGTCCGGTCGCTCCGGCGTCCAACGGCTCGGACTCGCCCCGGGATGCTCCCGATCCCTCGTGTCCGTCAGCTAAACCCACACTGGAGGCGGACGGCTGCCGACTCGACTGGCTCGCCTGCGATTAGCCCTTGGATTAAAGACCTTGATCTCAAACATTAACTCCACTTGTCTTTTATAGTCACACACACTCTGCTGTCTGTTTCCTTTAATCCTTTTTGTTACTTTTTCCTGTTTTATGAATTGATTTTGTTTCACTGCTGTATTAAGGTGTAAATTATTGCTGACGGTAATTAAATATGATACATTTTACATGCATACATTGTGGAAGATTACTTTTGTGTTACTCTAGGTAGTGTTCTTCTCTAGTTAGTGTCTTTAAACTAGCTACGGTTGTGATGTCATGTCCCGCTGTAGGTCAGAAGAGTCTCTTCTGCTCACCAAGGCTGCGTTTCAAAATACAGTAAAACAGTGAAATATTACTCCAGTGTAAATCCACTGTTTTCTGTGTGAATATATAGTAAAGTGTAATTTATTCCTGTGATCAAAGCTGAATTTCAGCATCATTACTCCAGTCTTCAGTGTCACATGATCCTTCAGAAATCACTCTAATATGATGATTTGATGTTTAATAATCATTTATAGAATTTTTATTATCAATGTTGAAAACTGTTAATATTTTTGTGATGCATTTTATTTTCAGGATTCTTTATAGAATAGAAAGTTCAAAAGTACAGCATTTATTTGAAATATAAAGTCATTTTATTATCAGATAATTTCTGCTCTCATTTTGAGTTTGATCAGTGTATTATAAATGCGTCCTGTAATAATGATGTTGTGTTTGTCTTCAGATGTTGACCATGAGAGCACAGATGGATGTGATCTGCTGTAAATCAGTAGGAACGGATCTGTCCATGCTGGATATTGAGGATTTCATCACTGAAATCTGTCAGCTGAAGAAAGAGGTGGCGTCACTGGAGGCAAAGCTGAGAGAAAGAGGAGACAAACCCAACAGAGAGGTTTGAGCAGCTCATCATTTCATCCTTCAGCTCAATCAAACCAACGTTTTGTTAGCTTCTCACTTCTTATGCATCTCTAATTAAGACAGAAGCAAAATATGCAAACAAATCACTAATATAACCACTAGAGATAACTGCTGAGTAATGAGGCTAATATCAACAGGTTGTTGTTTATTTGTGTTGATCTATGATGTGTTTGTCAGGATCTGGAGAAGGTTTCAGTGTGTGTGACTGATGGGACAGAAGCTCAGGATTCAGTCTGGAGATCCAGAGACACACAGGACTCAGAGCTCAGCCTCACTTTACTGTGTTATACTGATGCTCAGGATCATGGATCCGCTGATCAAACCTCTGACTGTAACGCTGGAGAACAGCAGATGAAGATGTGCTCCGTCAAACTGGAGGACTGCAGGAGCCTGATAGAGAGACGAGGAGAAGAAACCACAGCAGAGGAACAACAACAGAGCCATGAGGAGGAGGAGGATGATGAAGATGATGATGAAGAGAGAGATGGGGATGATGAGTTTCCTCCTGCAGGTGTTTCTTCCTTTCTTTTGTTGTTTTTCCTGACACTTGAATGTCTTTCATTAGACGTGGAGCAGAACCTCTGCATTAGTTCTTCCCGTCAGTCCCATAGAGGCTGTGCTGTCGGTACCGGGAAGAGAAATGATTAGTTCATCTCTCTCGAGTCTTCGGGTCAGAGTCTTCTGAGTCTTTCGTTCTTTTGTCACGTGACCTGATGTGACAGTTCTGGACACATAAATTAATTAATAATTCCCAAACTTTCTCATAAACAAGCGCGTAGTCCGTTTTTTAAACAGTTACACGCTGCGTTTTTGCTCTCAAATTATAGCTTTTTTATTTCTTATAATTTTTAGAATTTCTGTTATGATGGTTCTTTTCGTTATGAATGTGGTACTAAAGAGTTGGTAATGCTTTAAACTTTATCTATGATGGGGAAAATCACTTTGATAAAGATATATACCCATATATAGCCTAATAACAACTTGCAGTTATGTGACGTAGACCCGAACGACTCGAAACGTGAACCGACTGCATAGCATCAGTCTATGTGTCAACTAACGACTCGAATATATTTTTATAACATTTATTAACCTTTGTTAATGTAAAAATGTTAATAAATAAAAATTTTGATCTTGAAATTAACATAAATAAATGCGGTAATACTTTACTTGAAGGGGTGTGCATAAGACTGACATGACACCTTCATAACCATGACATGACATATGTCATGAATATGAAGTAGGGTTTATGCATGTTTATGACAACTGTCATTAAGTGTCTTTCGCTCAATAATGACATTTTGAATGCAAATATGACATTGTTTAAGATGTCTTTGTTATGACAACTTGACATAAACCATAACATCATAACCTGTCAGTGTCTTTGTCATGACAACTTGACATTAAATTAAGTTAAACTGTCATGTGGTTGGTTTTGACACTGGCTGTCATGAGGCATTATAACTGTGTCATGATGAATATTTTTCGTGACCTCAACTACAGTGGTACACATTCAATTTGTCATTAAACAGTTATAATGGCTTCATGACAGCCAATGTCAACACCAACCACATGACAGTTTAATGTAATGTTAACCAATAAAGCTAAGTGGCTTCTTAAGTTTGATAATTAATCTGCTATGTCATGTTTATGACAGGTTGTGTTGTCTTAGTAATGTTAAGTTGTCATGACAAAGACACTGACAGGTTATGATGTATTTGTTTATGTCAAGGTGTCATAAAGACATCTCAAACAATGTCATATTTGCATTAAAAATGTCATAACTGAGCGAATGACACTTAATGACAGTTGTCATAAACATGCATACAACTTCCTTCATATTCATAACATGTGTCATGTCATGATTATGAACGCTTATTTAGGGGGTTTCCAGAGCCATCAGAAGAAACACGCTGAAGAGCTTCCCTGACATCAGCATCTGCTTTCCATGGCAAGGACTCACTGTTTATTCCTGCTATCAACATCCGCTTCGGGCTTGTGTTTAGCGCTGAGTATTTTAACTTGTTTGATATTTTAATGACTAACATTGTTGTTTTAGTTTTCTGAATGTAACTTTACTAAGCAACATGTAAACAAACAAGAACGGACATAACTGTGTCAAATTAAAATGCACCATCACATACAGGCCACAAAGAGTCCGTGTTAACGGAATCTTACATTCTGGATTACCTCAGGGATGTGTATTATCCCCTTTGCTCTTTTCTGTTTATACTAATGAACTTAAGTGTAACAGTGATGATCTTACGTTGATTAAATATGCAGATGATTTGGTTTTAATTTCGTGCCAAACAGACAAGAACTGTCCCACCTACTTTGAGTATATTGAAAGTCTTGTACAATGGTGTGACAATAGTCATCTACGGTTGAACATTGAGAAGACAAAGGAATTATGCTGGGGGAATGAGAATAAGAAATGTACATTTGACCTTCCATATGAAGAAGTAACTATAAAAGGTGTAAAGATTGAGCAAGTTCAAAATTTTAAATATTTAGGCACAATCATTGATGACAAACTTTCGTTTTTGGATAATGTGAACTATGTACATAAGAAATCAAGACAGCGTTTAAGCCTACTCAGAAAGTTGCGAAACCTTGACATCGACAGGAGGATCTTAACCATTGTATATAGATCGATGATTGAAAGCATTTTAACCTATAATACTGTCTCATGGTATGGAAATTTAACAATGAAATTAAAGAATAAATTAACACGAGTAATTAACGAAGCAAACAAGATTATCGGCCGTAAACAGAGTACATTGCAAGAACTATTCTTAAATTTTATGGAGAAAAAGGCGCTAGTTGTGTTCTCAGATCAGACTCATCCTCTTCACACCTGAAGTCCTCCCTTCGGGTCGCAGGCTACGTACACCGTATGCTAGAGAGAATATTTTTAAAAGATCATTTGTCCCATTGGCAGTGACTGTTTTAAACCAAATTCTCAATTAGGGTTGTTATTGTGAATTATGTATACTGTATTTTTATCGAATCATGTATTTATCAATTATTATGTGTGTTTAATGTGATTGTAGAATGTTGTTGATCTGGATTTAATAGCAGGAAAATACACGTCATCCAGCATTTTATATCTTTAAGACACTCTGTCAATTTTGATGAGTTAAGGCCAATTTATACTTCTGCGTCGGGTGCGCGCAGTAGGTACGGCGTGAATGAAGCGCTTCGGAGGCTGAGTGCTGGAGATGATTCGGGAGAGGTCTGTGCACCTTTAGGGCCGTTACATAGTCAACGCGAGCAACCAACGCGAGCTACGCGCTCCTTTTCATAGTACACAAGCGTCACCGGCGATGCGTGAAATGCAATACACCGATCGCGCAGCAGGGGGTAGTAGAGTCTAGAGTCGAGTCACGTAATATTCAGATCAAAATGGCAACTGAAGAGGAGTGCATATTGCTGATTTTACATCGGCAGCAACAAAGGATGTATACGAACAAGCTCGCATAACTTTTCCTCTTCGCCTGCCATTGTATTCAAATCTTCTTCTTCTGTAAACATAATAATATACCTTTTTATGTACATTACTTGCAATGTCGCCCCCACCGACAACGCATAGTATTGCGTGCATCGGCGCGTCGCGTATCAAAAACTAGGATGACACATTTGGCTACGCATCGATGCATAATGGCGGCCGAAGCGTAGCGATGTGTAGCCTTGCGCACGCGTATGCGTACCGATGCGTTGACTATGTAAGGGCCCTTACCGATCAGAGCGCGCGCTGACACGGAGTAAAGCCTTGTTTATACTCGACGCGTCCGTTTCTTTTACTGTCTATGGTCCGCGCGCACCTTTTAAATAAACGTAGAGCAAGTAGCTAATCAGTGTCTGCTCGTTTATTCAAACTAAGTTGTCCTATAACAGACGAACGTCGCAACGCATACAGTTCAATTTTCATTCAAGCTCCAAACTGCAATTATTGTTAAGGGGCAACCTAATGGCTCTGCTCTGGCGATTTTTACAAGCATGATACATCTTATCTATTTTTCAGGACAATGCCTGGTGAGAGCCACTACAGAGGATCATAGCCATCGTTGGAATTTTGAAAGGACGTGGGTGAATATCAATCTGCCAAATGAACTTTTTTAGCATGCACATTCACATCTGTATATTAATACTGATTATATATTAACTTTGTTTGTTACTGGAAAGAACTTAGCTTCTGAACTAAGAACAAAGAACTTTTTGACTGAAGGACTTGACCGTGTTTTAAGCCTATGTGCATTTTAAAGTAAACCCCATGCCATAATGGAAAAAGTATGTACACATATATTGGACAGTTGCTTGTAATTGCTATCAAATATTGTTTACATAAAATAAACATGTGTATTTTTACATATATTGGAGAAATGCTTGTAATTACTGTCTATTAATGTGTATATAAAGTGAATCCATACATTGAGTAAATGTCATGTTGATATATTGGAAAGTTGATTTTAATTAGTATAAAGCAATGTTTATATAAAGGTTTATATAAAGTATACCTCATACATTGATGTTAAAAGTATATAGAAGGTAAAGCCCCATACATTAAAGGTACAAATATGTAGAAATATTGGAGAGTTGCCTGTAATTATTGTCAAATAATGTTTATATAAAGTAAACCCCCTTATTTAAATGGTAAACATGTAGAAATATTGGAGAGTTGCTTGTTATTACTGTCAAATAATCTTTATATAAAGTAGCACACTGTATTTAAATGGTACAAATATGTAGAAATATTGGAGAGTTGCTTGTTATTACTGTCAAATAATGTTTATATAAAGTAAACCTGCATACATTAATGGTAAAAGCTTGTACATTTATTGGAGATGTGTCTGTAATTACTGTCAAATAATGTTTTAATAAAGCAATAACTGTTAAAAATATGTTTCTGAAACTTAATATCACAAGATCTTGTTTTTTTTGTACAGGATAAAACCAATATTTAACAGGAATTTACTGTAAATAGATTGAATAATGACATAAAATAAAAGTTTAAATCGATCAATATACTGGTATTAGGCTTTAAATTAGGGTATCTGAAGGTAATTATACAACATTTTCTGTGTGTTTTACATAGAAAAGTCTTTACTTTGACAAGGAGTTCTTGTAGATGGATTGGATTATCCTAAAAATATACCAAATAATACTGTATTAAAACAGAAGTCTTTGATTTAATTATGTAATTTTAAGGTATTTCTGCAATATTTGTAAGTTTTTATACAGATTTATACATTCGTTTAACATTCAACAGACATTTTTTTTATGAGATTTTTTTTTCTTTCTACAGCAGTTTGACTGTAAAAATACAGAAAATGTTTACAGTAAATATCCGTTTTCAAAAAACAAAAATTTTCTGTAAAATAATTTAAGTTTTTTTACTGTAATTTGACGGTAAGTGGTTGGCAACTTTGCTGCCAGACTTTTTACCGTTATTTTACAAAAAAAAATTTTACAGTGTGTAATGGGAATAAGATTAGCATGTCAAACACATTTGATAATAAAGTAAATGTCCTATTTTCACATTGCAAATGTAGAAGAAAACTAGCCTCGTGAGACCATCCTGATCTCGCGAGCTTTCAAGGTTTCACTCGCAGATCAGTCTGGATACTTTCCGTTAAAGAAAATTTGGGAGC